CGCCGCAACTAGAGAAAGCCCGCACGCGGCGAGGAAGACCCGATGCAGCCAAAAATAAATAAATAAATTTATTTAAAAAAAAAAAAAAAAAGAGGCAATGATGGGACTTCCCTGGCAGTTCAGTGGTTAAGACTCGGAGCTTCCACTGCAGTGGGCACAGATTCGATCCCTGGTTGGGGAACTAAGATCCTACACGCCCCGTGGCGCGGCCAAATAAATAAGTAAATGAATAAGTTGTTTTAAAAAAAAATGGCAGTGATGATGGTAGCTGCCTCCCAGACATCTCAGAAGGATTAAATGGGATAACCGGGTAAAGAATGCACTTGAGGGCCAGTAAGTGCCCGGTAACTGTTGCCTGTCACCATCACCATCATCATCATCATCCCCATAAATGCTATAGCTACTCGTGGGGTATGATGCCCATGTTAATCCTGGTCCTCCTCTACCACAATAACTTCCAGAACCTTCACAACAAACTAAACTGCCATCCCCACTTCCTGGATGGACAAAGTGAGGCTCAGAAAAGCTAGTACTTTTCAGACTGAAAACTCCCTGAAGGCAGAGGCCATGTCTCCAAAGTCTGGGCTCCCTATGGAATTGAGGTTGTGCCTCTCCCTTCAGACTTTGTCTCTCTCATTGGTCCCGGGGGCCAGGTCTCCTTTTTAGCCCCCCACCCCAGCCAAGCTCAGAGGAGCAGGAAGGGGTGAGGTCCAGCCCCCCTGACTCCTCGCAGCAAGGAGAGGTTCAGGCTGTGGACAAAGGTCAGCACGGGGCCTGCCTGGTCCTAGCTGCCCCAGCTGATGCAGGGAAACCTCGTGACTGCCCCCCTTCCCCCACACAGGCTGCAGCTTCCCGCCTGACTGGGCTGAGCGCTTCAAAGCCAGCAGCCTCTGAAATGAGGCTGCAGCATCTGAGATGGCAGCTAGTGGCGGGGGAGTCAGGCAGCGCCCCCGGTCCCCTGTGTGTATCTCCAGGCACTCCTGTCAATGGTGACTTGTCGTGCAGTGTTGGCCACGAGGGTCCTGGGAGATGGCTTTGGGTGTTCATATCATGGCCGAAGGAGCATTAAAGCTACCAACATGCCAGTGAGCCAGGGGTGTAAAAGGCCAACTCCTTCATGCAAGCAGGCACTGGACACCCAGGTGCTGATGGGAGAGAGGGAGCCACGGGGAGTGACCACCAGGACACACACATGTACACACACTCTGCACCACATAGTAGGATGATACTGTGGCCTCTAACATTCCAGACCCGGGATCAAATCCTGCTTCCCCTATTTCCTAGATGTGTGAACTTGGGTAGCACTATGGGTTGAATTATGTTCCACCCAAAATTCATATGTTGACTCCTTAACCCCCAGTATCTGAGAATGCAATCTTATTTGGAGATAGGGCCTTTACAGAGATAATCAAGTTAAAATGAGGTCATTAGGGTGGGCCCTAAACCAATATGACTGGTGTCCTTACAAGAAGGGGGAATATGGATACAGACACACATAGAAGGAAGATGATGTAAAGAGACACAGAGAAGACTGTCACCTACAAGTCAAGGAGAGAGGGCTAGAGCAGTTCCTTCCCTCACAGCCCTCAAAAGGAGGCTGCCGGTACCTTGATTTTAGACTTCTCGTCTCCAGAACTGTGAGACAATAAACTTCTGTTGTTTAATCCACCCAGTCTGCGGCACTTTGTTAGGGCAGCCCTAGGAAACTAATACAAGTAGTGACTGTTTCTCGGAGTCTCGGTTCTCACAGCCCTGAACAGGAGTTATAATAGTACTTGTGTCATAGGTTGCTACGAGGCTTAGATGAGATGCTACTTCTGAAGACAGCACTTAGCACCGGATTAGACACTCAGCATGTACTCAATAAATGGTGGTTGCTTTTACTATTATGGTTATTGTTCACTCATACATTCCTGTATACGCTTACACATTTACTCATCTATTCTACGTAATACTGTATTGTACACCTTCCAAATACCAGGCATGTGGGCCCTGAAGTCGAACAAATCTCTGTCCTCCGGGTACTTGGCAATGATCAAAGATAGAACTACCCTCAGGGAAAACAGAAAATCCACATACACACAAATTAGCTGATGGGAGAGCAAATGCTTAGGGGTTTGCCCATGTGTGCGTACATGAGTGTTAATGTGTACATATGTGTGTACACAGGTGTTAATGTGTGTGTGAGTGCATCAGGATACTGTGTGCACATGCATGTGCATCTGGGAGCACAAGCGCATACTAGTGTGAATTCATGCAGAAGTGTACATATGTGTTGCACGTGTGTTTTAGCATGTGTGTACACAAATGTTCATGGGTACATGAATGTACATGTGGGAGCATGAGAACATACGGGCCAGTGTGTGTCCAGATGAGTGTGGCTGAGCAAGGGCAGATGTGTAGGCAAGTGTGTGTGAGAACAGTAGGGCCCAAAGCTGGTGCCCTCTACTGCCTACAGCCCAAGAAGGAGCTCTGAGAGGTCATCTCAGCCATCTGCCAGCCAGCCTCAAATAGACACATACCCCTTCCCCACGTCAGACTTGAATGCTCTCGTGCCCAGGGACCACCCCAGAAGCCTCCCCAGTGCTTAGCCCTGGTTTTCAGGAAGTCCTTTCAGCATACTAACCACAATCCCTGAGTGACACTTCTGAAACCAGTAGTCCCAAAGCCACGGAATGAAACAGACATCATTCCAGACACATGTTGGTCCTATGTCCTCATTCATCTCCAACCTGCCTTACCAAAGAGGGAGGTGGGCTCCTCCATCCTCAAAGATCTCTCCAATTTGGGTATCCTAGTCCAATCCTATTTCTGCCCCCAGAATGCCCAAGGTCAATGCTGCCTGTCCCACCACCATCCCCTGGCAGGGAAGAGGTGCTAAGTTACCTGGCCTCTTTCCCACCATCATAGGATCTGATGCTTGACAAAGAAGCATGGGTGGACATGATGGGTCTAGGGTGGGGCAAGCCCTCAAACACTAACCAGGCCAGTGCCCAATAGGCATATGGAACTGTTGGAGCTGTGAGAGGGCGATATTTCCCAAGGTTGAAAAAGGACTAAAGCGCCAGGGCTTGTGGTGGGGAGATCCACAGATGAGGCCACCCCCAGGGGACTGACTCCCACCCCATACCCACTCTTCCCTGCCCAAGACTTGGTGAGGCCCTGAAGGACCAAACTTAGGGAGCCAACAACATTTGGGCCAGACTCTCTGCCCCCAAAACTAGTGTCTGAACCCCAGACCTGAGTTCCAGTTCTGGTTCTAATAGTGATAACAGCAATAATAAAGGTTCACATTTATCACGCACTAAGTACCCGGACCTGTGCTCACACTTCCCACACACTGTGCCATTGAGGCCACACATTGTTTCAGTGAGGTCAGAGACTATCAGCGTTACCCCATTTTACAGTTGAGGAAAGCAAGGTACAGTTTAGCTCACCTGCCATATGCCAAGGCATGGTTTAGCTCAGCATGCAGCTGATTCGTAGCAGAGCCAAGAGAGCCCACACTCTTAACCACGAAACCCCTACCTCAGAGAGTGACCCTAGACAGCCCCTTCTCCTCTCTCCATCTCCCAGTCTGTACAGTGCGGGTGCTAACTGCCATGACCACCGAGCTCTGTGGGACTCCCAGCTCTGACTCCTGGGTGAGAGCCAGGGCGCTGACCCCTAGGGTCTTGTGAAGCATGCAGATGACAGGACCACCCTAGATCCACTGAATCAGACTCTCCGCATACCGCAACCCCTCCCTCCCCACATCTGCAAGCTCACAAGGTCAAATGATCTACAGTGAACCAAGGTTTGAGAGCTCCTTGGGTGGTGGGATCCCTTGGCAGGAAGGAAGGTAGGGGAAAGTGGAAAGCTCCCTTAACTCAAGCCCTGCTAGGGGAACTTCAGGGGCTGGGGACGCTCTGAGGTCTGGCTACCACTCCTTTCTCATCCAAAGCGCAACTCCTCATCTAATGGGGAGAAGATTAGTAAATTCTAGAGGTGCTACCCATCACGGGGGTGGGGAGAAGGAAGAAGTGGATTCTGCCCCCTAATCATCTCTCCTTGCCATCCCTGAGCCAGACAGGTACAAGGGTCTGAATAGATGCCCCCGTAAAAAACTTGAGTGGGGTGGGAACAACTAGCATAGGCGAGGGAGGGGGAGCATGGGGGTACTGGAGAGGCAGGCAGTTAAGGTGGGAACCGCACAGACAAAGGCTGACCCCAGCCAGGCCTACTGGCCAGCCAGCTCATCCCCACCCCCCTGCGGCAGGCAGCTTGGCAGAGCTGAGCACCAGCTTCTCGATCCAAACCGAGTTCCCACCAAGCGTGCTTAATGCAGCGGCGGTGACATTTCTGCCGTCAGAGGCAAAAACAGGAACTCGGCCATTTTGTTGAAGGGCGCCCAGAGTGCGGGGCGGGAGACGAAGGAGGGGGGGTTTCAACTCCTGCACCCACCGCCCTAACCACCCACTCCTGCCTCTGCCTGGTGCTCCAGCCAAAAGGTCACAAAACTAGGGTCACCAGCCAGACAAGGAAGCTGCTGCAGAACTCTCACCCTCTTGTACAGGTGGGGAAACTGAGGCCATAACGCTGACACTAGCCAGATCTGGAGATGGTAAAAGGAGGAATGGAGAGAAGCCCCGAGGAGGGTGCCTTAAGGAATGCTCAGGTGGCAGCGCCAGTCTGAGGAGCCAGAGAGCTGAACCCAGCCGGCCGCAATGACCAGTCTCAAAAGAGCCTACACACCTGGCCCCCCAACACCGGCGCGCCCTCAGGAGGGCGCTCGCGGCATCTCTAATCGTCCAAGCAGTGAGAGGGTTAAGCTTCCTCGCGGTACTTGCCGCAGTAAGTGGAAAGGAAAGAAGTGTCAACTCTGTTCTCACCACAGCGGGGCTGTCGGATGGCACCTCCCCCCCGCCCCGCGCACCCCGCCCCGCCGGCTCCCCCGCCCTCCCCTCGGAGCGCGCGCGCACACACACCTCCCACCGCTTTGCCCAAATTATTTTCGATCCCGGGAGACTCCGGATGCCAGACGCGCTCCGCAGCGGCGGCGGCGGCGGCCGCGCCTGATTCATTGCGCCAAAGCTGCAGATGCGACCTCCCGCCTGCGCCCTGTGCCCCGGCCCGCGCCGGGCTGCGTGCGCGCCTGGAGAGATGGGGGGGAGCGGCAATTTGTAGGCGCTCCCCCCTCAAGAGGCGGGCCCCGGTCCCCCGGGGCCGGGTCCCCAGTCCCCAGCTCCCCGGGCTGCGCTAATTAGCTTCTTCCGGGGGCGCCACGCGGCGTGAGGGGCGGCAATTTCCCGGCTGGGCTGCGGGGGAAGCACTCCCACCGCCTGGGAAGGTGAAATGGGAAACTCGATTCAAAGGGAGCTTTCCTCCCCCCCCACCCCCCGCTCCCGCCTAGCGCGGTAGAAAACGGGTTTGAAATTCCTCCTCTCTCTTTTTTTTTTTTATTTATAGTGCACCGTCTCCATGGAAACCGCGGAGGAGGTCACGGTAGCTGGGCCCCCGCGCGTCACCCCGCGCCTCGCCGGCTGCAGGCGCCAGGATTGCTGCCTCCCAGGCGCCGCGGCCCGCGTGGACTCTACTCCGAGTTCCCCGCCCCCGCTCCACTCCGCCCGCGGCTCAAGCCATATGACTCTGCCGGGTCCCAACCGGGAAGGGTGAACCTGGGCACCAGTGCGCTAGGCTATACCTCTGTCCCCGGGCTCTGGCACGCGGGAATGCTCCAAGACACACGTGCCCAGCTCCAAGACGGGGACACGTGCGGCGACACGCCGCCAAAGGGCTCCCTGCACTAGTGAATGCCCCGCAGGATCGACCTATATAGGCGCACAACTCCAGAGCTCTCTGCTAAAGCAAAACCACCTATAGTTAAGAACCCTGAAGTCCGCCTGGGTTATCTTACTAGCTATGTGACTTCGGGCAAGTCACAACCTCTCTGCGTCTCGGCTTGCTCATCAGCAAAATGTAATTGTCGGGTGGCTTGAGACAAAGTACGTGAAACGTTTAACACTGTTTGGCACGTGGTTCTGAAAAATGGTAGCTGTCATTGAGGTTATTTTTTTACGGACTGGGAAAGCCAAGGCCCAAAAGGCATTGCTCAAGGGCGCGGTCAGCCTGAAGGCTGAGAGTTGCACCTTGAGAGCTTCCCAGCACCTCAGCCTAGACTCTGGCAGGAGGTTGAGGGGACACGTGCCGGCTTTGCTGGGCCTGGGCCTGCGTGGGGCGCGACGGGCGGGACCTCCTGAGCTAGCCACATCCGCACCCGGAACCCTGGAAACGGGACTCCCCGCGGTGTGCGTCCCACCCCCCTCCTGCCCCAGCACCATTAGCAACGGGCCTGCCTGCCCTCCCTCCCAGGGCTGAGGCCGCACCTGCCCCACCGGATGGCCGCCCCGGGGCCAGGCCGTGCCCCCCACCGCGCACACTTCCTCCCGGACCTCCAGCGCCCCGTCGAGCGCGCAGGGGGAGGGGACCCGGCCGCCCCGGCCCCGCCAGCTTCCCACAGCCTGAGCAGCCCGGAGCCGGGGAGGCAGGAAGTCTCAGAGCCGGGGCGTGGAGGCGGAGTAGGGGCAGGAAGTTGGGGGTGACTCTCCCAGAGACCCCAGACAGGGCCCCGGCGTGGGAGCGGGGTGGGCGGGCGCGTAGGGATTAAGGGCTCCCCCCACACACACCTCTTTTAGCCTTAGGCCACGTGACCCGGCCGGAGCACCCTGCTGGGTGAGGGCGAAGGCCGCTACCTCTGCCGACCCCCAGCAGCGCGCACTAGGAGGGAGGGGCAGCCTTTGTCTACTTTGCCGCAGAGGCAGCCCCCCACAACCCCTCCCCCACGCGCCCCGCCGGGCCCTGCACAGCCCGGGTTTTCCATCCGGCCCGGCTCGGCTCGGCAGCTGTCAGGGGACCGAGCTGACCTTCGCGAGCAGGGAGTTTCAATTAGCCGCAGATCAGATAAGCGGGCGGGCCAGCCTCTCCGGGCACCGCGGGGGCGCAGCCCCGCCCCCGCCACGCCGCGCCAAACGCGCTCCAGATGGGAACAAAGATGAGGACGCAGCTCCACCTGCCTCCCCGGGGAGGGGGGGACTGGAGGCCCCGCCGGGAGGAGCTTGCCACCGGAGGAAGGGGTTGCGCACCCTCCCCTGCCCGTCTAGGATCTCATTCCGGGGCAGTGGTCTAGTCAAAACGATCTTTGCAACTCGCCTTGCCTCCTGCACAGCGGAGAGGTGCCTGCCACGCTGACCTCATCTCCAGGCGGGCATCGTGCCCTCCCTCCCCTGGAGGGAGTCTTTTGCCATCGCTGATCTCATCCAGAGCACTCCCTGGGAGGCTGAGAGAAGGAGACAGAGCCCAACAGAGAAAGGAAACTGAGGTAGAGACGGACTGGACTGCTTGATTCAGGTCACACCAACCACAACATTCTTTCAGATGTTTATCGAGTGCCTACTAAGTACCAGGCGCTGTTTAGACTATGGGGACATCAGCCTCATAGAGCTTACATTCTAATTCAGGGAGACAGACCATAATCAAGTAAACAAATAGGTGAACAAGATCATTTCAGAGAGTCTGAAGAGCCATGAAGATATTAAAATAGGTCATGTGAGCCCGATTTCAGAGAGGGGACCATGTTACATATGGTAGTCAGGGAGGGCCTCTCTGAGGAGGTAACATCTGAACTGAAACCTGAAAGACCAGGAGGAACCAGTCAAGCAAAGGAGAGGGTGTGGAGCATGCCACTGTGGACATGACCTTAGGCCCAAAGAGGAAGCAGATAGAACAGGGCTTTGCAGACCAGGTGAGGGGTCAGGGTTTATGAAAAGTACAACGGGAGCCTTTGGTAGGTTCTAAACCGGGAGTGACATGGTCTGACTTAAATTTTTAAAGATCCCTCTGGCTATTGTATAGATCAGAGGAAGGCAAAGGTACAAGACAAAGACCAGGGAGGAGGGGAGAGGATGGGGGTGGAGGGGGGGCTTTCTGCAGTAGTCATATATTTGGGCTGATGAAGTGGATGTGGAGGTGAGGTGAAGCAACAGAAGCTTGGTGAGAGAGGCAGGACTTGAACCTAGGTCAGCCTTTGGGAGCATGGAGGGGCTGCTTAGAGGTGAAGGGTAAAGTTGTGGAGCAGGAATGCCAGGGTTCAAATGCTGGTACAGATATTTTCCAGCTGAGTGACCTTGGACAGGCATCTCTATCAATATTGTGGAGCATTGTAAAAGGAAAAGGAGATTGCCATTGTAAGGTTTGAATATGACATCTGAAAAGTGTTAATCACAGAGCCTGGTAATGAGTAGGTGCTCAATAAATTTGGGCTATTATTATGGGCACTGTGGTTACTACCCCATCCCCTCGCCCCCACCCCCATCACCACCACCTGCCTCTTTGTGTCAGGACTATCCCTTGGCCTTCCTAACCCACCTCTGGCCTTGTTTTCATTTGCTGAGGGTAGAAACTCTTCCTCCTCTCCCCCCTGCCCCACACCTTTGTCTGGAGGGGAGTTGGGTGGGGATCATAGGGAAGGGACTAACCCAGTCCTTGTTCACTAAACTGACTGCTGGGATCACTCCTCATCCAGGACCCCAACTCACCATCCTGGGGTAACCCTCTGAGCCCCTCAGTGGTCTCCATAGGGGCCTGCCCTCCCTGCCCGCCAGAGGAGTTGAGAGCATTCAGTTATCATTCATTCAATCGATTGAGTGACCCTCCAGGCTAGGCTGAGGTGGGGACAGAGAAAAGCACACCCAGGCCCTGCCCTCAGGCAGATACTTGGAAGAGTCCATTGTGGTTAGTTAGGGAATGTTGTGCTGTAGGAGCTTAGAGCAGGGCCAGAGAGGGTGGAGGGGCCCCTTTGGGGCAGCAGTTACTACAGTCACAACTCCCACCTATGGAGCCTCTACCCAGGGCCAGTCACCATGCCCTGGTACATACATGTCATTGAGTCCTTACAACCACTCAATGAGGTCCGTACTATTACAATCCTTAATTTATGAGCAAATAAACAGAAACTTCCAGAGGTGAAGTGCCTTGCCCAAGATCACATGGCAATTAAGTGGTGGAACTGAGAATAAAACCCAGGTCTGGCTGAGGCCAGAACAGGAGAATTTAAACATTCTACTGTCTGGTCTCATGTTCTATTAAATGCAAGGATGTCTCTGAAAGGCCTTCAGCCAAATCCCTGTGGTGATGGATCTTGCCCTTACTTCACTCAACTTCCCTATGCCTGAGTCTTTATCTAAACTCTCAGGAGCCCAGCCTGGTGCCAGGTATACAATAGATACTCAAGTACTGCTTGAATGTAGCTTCCTCTTGACAAAGTAGTGTTGATGCCTACCCTCATCTCCACACCTCCCCTTGGGTTCTCGGGCCCCTATATCCCATTTCAGAGCCTGTCAGTGCTGATGACTAGAAAAAGAAAAGTTCTAGTTTGCATAATATTTGCATCTGCTTTGCATGCTGTTCACATAACATCAAAATACACAAAGGTCTGGTCCTGGTACCCTATTCCTCCTCTTGGCATTCCCCCGCAACCCCCTCTAACCTGCTGACCCAGAACAGGGGGTGAGGGTTTTGGGTAGTACTCATTTAGGGTCCACCTAACCTTATCTATTTCCAACATTATAGGAACAGAGATGGGAAGATTCCTGTCTACCCTCACCCCCCACCCTCCCCTCCATCCCTTCCTGGGGGAATTCTGGGTCAGGGCAGGGGCTGGGCTTCAAAGGTTGGGTAGAGAAAATGATAAGACATGTGACTGAAGGAACTGTGGGCAGGGACCACTTCAGGGTGTCAGGTACAGCAAGGGGAGAGGAGAAGAGGGAGGCAGACGAGGGCTGAATAATGTCAGGCCTAAAATGCCAGGCTGGGTAGCCAGCACCTTGACAGGCAGGAGAGGACATGAAAGGTGGATGCACACTGGAGGAGGGGGTTGCCACCCTGGCTTATAGCTCACATCTTAGCCCGGCCCTGGGGTATGCAAAGTGCCAGGCCTGTGTGAAGGCCCCCAGTGCAGCATCAATTCCATGCACCCACCTCCCTGCACAGTATGTTAGGTTCTGCCTCTGTGATAGACTGAATGTTTGTGTCCCCCCAAAATTCATATGTTGAAATCCTAACCCCCAATATGATAGTATAAGGAGGTGGGGGCTTTGGGAGGTGATTAAGTCCTGAGGGTGAAGCCTTCATCAATGGGATTTGGGCCTTTATGAAAGGGAGCCTAGAGAGATCCCTTGCCCTGTCCACCATGTGATGACACAGTGAGAAGATGGTGTCTATGAACTAGGAAGCAGGTCTTCACTGGACACTGAATTTGCCAGTGCCTCGATCTTGGACTTCCCAGTCTCCAGAACTATGAGAAATAGATGTTTGTTGTTTAAGCCACCCAGTCTATGGGATTTTTGTTACAGCAGCCCAAATGGAGTCAGCCCCCATACCCAGGAGAGGCTCCATAGGGTGCTCACAGCTGAGCTCCCAGAGGAAGCTTCCACCTGGTGTGGCCTCTCCCAACCCCTGGCCTCTCCTTGTGTGTGCCCCTGTCACTGGCCTATGCTCTGCTGAGACCTTCACGTTCATCCCCACATCCCTTACACTTCTGATGTCACACAGTCCTGGGTGTAATTCCAGCTACCGTAACTTACAGTCACACAATCTCCTTGAGCCTCAGTTTCCTCATCTCAAATGGAGATAATACCAACTGTCAAAGCTTCTTGTAAGAATTAAGTTGGGTGAAGTCCCTAACAGAATACCTGAATTTCATTTATTTAATCATTCTCTATTTGAGTGCCTTCCATGTGCCAGGCATTGTTTTAGATACTGGGGTTTCAGCAGTAAATCACAGAGATGAGGTCCCCAGTTCTCAGGGGTTTCCATTCTAGAGAGGGAGAATGAATATAAACCACAAATATATATTTCACATTGTGACAAATGCTGTGAAAGTATAAATAGGATAATGTAATAGGGTGACATAACAGCACGGCTGGAGGTAGCAGTGGGTGGGTGGTTTTCGATAAGGTGGTC